CAGCGTTATCTTGTCTTGGAAACAAGTCAGACAAACACTGCTGGGACAGCATGTGGAAAATTCTGTTAATGATGAGAAATATGAAGTTGTAACAAACAGAATGAGAGAAGCAAATATTCCAGAGGCCTAATGACTGCTTCTAATATCCATAAGAAAGGCTGCAGATTCACAGCAGCAAGGTAAGCAGCGGGGAGCAGTGATCACTGGAAAGTCTCTGAAAGGAGTTCCAAGCATCAAATGCTTTGCTGTAGCTCTTTCCAGTACCTGCTGCCAAACACTCCAAAGAAAATCACAAGATACCATATGAGATAAAGATGGGAATAAGCTTTTTAGTCAAATGTTTCAGCTTAATTCCTACTGCTTGGAGATTCAGACATGCTTGCTTATATCCTTGACTGTTTTTAGAGCATAAATTAAAACTTTTCTCAGTCAAAAGCATTCAATTTCTTTGCACTCTCATGGATTTATTTTTATTTTGTCCCAGGGCAACAAGATTGAAGGAATCCAATGCCTAAGGAAAACTTTTCAAACTTACCTCTACTTCTTCTGAAAGTAAATTTAACTTTGAAAGTAGCTTAGAATGTGAGAATCCTATGATGAAAGTATAAAATATAAAATGCTTGATTTCAAAGCCTTTTCCAAGAAAAACAGTCTTACAATGCAGGTTTTGGTGGGTTTATTATTTGAAGAAGAACAACCTCCTTCTGCATTGATGTCAAGACAACATAAAGGGCTTCTTGATACCTGTTATCACCCATTAATTTTCACTGTCAAATATTTTTGTTACCAAGGAAAACGAAAAACTTTCCGCTGCTTAATCCATTTACATTTTTATATATTTCAACTCTCTCATTATTTATTTTTTCAGGTACTTAGATATTACTACATTATTACTACTGCAGACTTTTTATGCTTGACTTTGCTTCTAAAAGACATCAACTTTTACAACCCTCCTCGGTACTGCTATAATGTCTTGTTTTATGATGCAGTAATTAGAACTCAACATATTACTTTATGGAAGAACTTAACAAGAAATTTTATCCTGCCATTACTTAGTCTGACTTGCATTCTTTTTCTCTAACTCTGAAGCTCAGCTTCATGCTGGCTGGATTGCTGGAGAACCTTAATTTTTACTGTAGTTATTGGTGAATAAAATTAGCACTTATGAATTCTTCACAGGTAGGCTTTTGTTCTTCATTGAGCATGGAACACATGACAATTCAATTGCTATTAATTTTCAACATAAAGAAGTTACTGGGGATTCTTCTGAATGTCCTGAATTTGTTTCAAACCTAGTTATTTAAGTCAGGCAGAAAAGGAAGAGTTTTTAAAGTCGTGCCAGTATGACTGTAAAGAAGTGAAACCATGGGTTTGTCAGCTAGTCTGATGAAAATGAACAAAAATATCAAATAAGTATATTCAAGTCTTTCCTACTGGGGGCTAACTCTGCCTCTGATAGCCAGAGGATTCCACGACGTATTTTATGTTGTAGTCATCTCAGACACAAAAATAAAGATAAGTGACAAGCAGCAGCATCTTGTTGGAATGCAAGTTTTCCAGCTTCCTTTCCTACTTTTCACATATGAGTTTTCTCAGTCATATAGCCCATACCTCTCCCACCAGGTGGCTGATAAGAATGTTCCAGCTGTTTACAAGCAGCTCAAGAGCATCAGTGAGCTAAGCCTTTTTTTCCTCTTCTAAGTGTATTCACAACCTAGCTATCACCTAAAACAGGCAGCTTAATAAACAGTTAATAGAACTTTTACAGAGAACAGAAACACACTATATGCCCTAACAGACCTCAGTGAACACATTTATTGTAAAACCAATATTCACCTCACAACACCTGTCTTAATAAATCCATTTGTCTGCTTAATCATTCCTTTTAATTTCTAAAGATACTGCAACAGCATAGTGGCATCATCATCAGTATGAAAGTAAAAACTGGGAAGTGGAAATAGCCGTGTGAAATCTGCAGGTGTGCCTACAAGCCAACTTTACAAACAGGATTTTAAAATATAAGACCAGTAAGGAAAAAGGATAAGCCCTAACTTGAACATTTATTCTTCAAGTTTCATTGTATTAAATTTTACTCTTTACTAAACAGAAAGCCCATTACTTTTAAAAGACTTCAGGAAAAAAGGAAAACATGCCAAAGCAGGCTTGTGTGTGTGCATACATCCACAGTCCAGACTCATGAGGTACATGACAAATCTAATTCTCATGTATTAGCAGAAAGCATAACAAGGCAAGGAATATTTGCCTTAAACCAAAAGACTAACAGAGCCTGAGACTTCTTTTGTTTCCTCTACCTGACAGATGCAAGGATATCCTCAAGAAATTACACAAGTATGAGAATAAGCAGGTCAGTTCCATTTCAGGCTTTGTCATTAACTTACAGCATAGGTTTGAGGACCTGATTTTTATTTTCAGTTGACCCATGTAATTATCATTATTTTTCCTACCTGCTGTACTTAAAAATGTTCTTATTACACTTACTTATGTTCACCTTTTTTTTTCATTTACACCAAAAAAATTGCCAAAGGCTCCACTAACAAAATAGGAAGTCTGCTATTTCACTAACTGGGGGAGGAAGACAGGGGTGGAGAAAAAAAAAAGAAAAAGCCAACAAACTCCAACCAATGAACTCCCCAGTCATATGTAAACACACAAGCATTTCTCCAACTTTACCCCAAACTCTACCACTATGACACTTTTAACAAATTCCCCAATCACTATACATCTGTGTAGTCAACACTGGTCCCCAACCCGGCAAGAATTTGCCATTTAAGCATTACATAAGTGTCAAGTGGCACGGGACGAAGGATTTCTCTATAAAGGAGAAAGCAAATATTCTCCGACAGAGGTGGTAGGACATTTGGAGCGTGGTTAAACAAAGCAGGTCGAGACCCCTGGTGGCCTAGTGGTTAGCGTGCAGGACTCTCACTGCTGCGACCACGGGTTCGAGTCCCCGGTCTCCTGGCCTGATGGAGGTCGTTAGCCCTGTGTGGCCATCCATCTATGAGAAGGACACTCTAAACAAACCTACGTCCTGAGGACCTCACTGCCATTGTCCAAGCTTGCTTGGCCCCGGCAGATGAACCTCAGGATTAAAGGGTGGGCTCAGTTCAGCGCAGGCTGTGTCTCACCTAAAAAATCCATTGCGCAGGCTGGAAAGGTAAAAAGACCTTTCCCCAAATCTTCGTTCGCGAAGATGGGCCATATTTATATAAACAAAGCAGGTCGCGTTATTTCACACTTGCGCTGCCACCCGCTGGACATTCCAAGTATTCCCACCCAAAAACCGCACCTGAAACCCGGGTATTTCTTCGCTGTGCTCAGGTGCTTCGACCAATTAGTGACCCCGCTCTTTCTGTGCCCGGACATTAACTGTAGCACAGTATTCGCCCCGTGTAGAAGAGTGGGGAAGTTTCTTTCTAGACTTTCATATGACTTTAAATTGAAGACCACCAATTTAATTCTCCTGAGGGATGAAGTCTTTGCTGTTAAGAATATGTAACACATAAAGCCAGTTATGGGTTCCTGTATATAAGGATATGCTGTTATCTAAAGGAATATAAAAGCACAAGACAGTCCTTTGGCATTCCTCAAGCATATGTTTGTTTTCGAACTCTTAACGGTAATAATTTTGAACTAAAGCCTCGTAATGTTTGTTATTCAGTACCAACAAATTGTATAAACAAACAATTTGCAGACCAATTCTGTTCCTAGAACATCTCGTCTCTGTCCCAGCCAGGGAAAAAAACAGTTCATAGCATTATGTGCTTATGTTCTTGACCTGATTTAATGCCAGGATCAGAGATGCTGATTTTGCCAAATATATCTTCCAGTTGAAATTTGCACAAGATATCTCTAACTCAAAGCCCACAGTACATGAATATATGTCTATCTGGGGCACTAGGGAATAAAAAAAAATTAGGTCTTCAATCAGTTATTTAGAACTGAAGCTACTTGAACAGGTAAATTCTGTTTAAAGTTCTGACATTAAATCAACATAATTTAGTTTCAAGAATTGATTCCAGCTCTTCCACAAACAGCAAATTATTTTTTCTTATAGGAGCTGTCAAAAAACAGAATCCTGTGAAAAGTCCTCTGAGTTTTATGCTTATGTTGCAATGAGCATTCTACATTTGTAATGTGACAATTAAAAGACCTCCTCACTCTAACACATACAGTATTAATTGTGTGTGTATAAGACAAATACTATGTGACAATCAGCTCTTTCATGAATAATTCAAATCCAAATTAAGTTTTGAATGTTTCCATTTAAATTATGTGGTAGTGTAACATGATAATCACTATGTGAAATAACTATAGGCCAGCGAGAGGAAAAAAATGGGCCTTTTCTATTTCTGTTAATAAATTTGGTCAGTATCCTGCAAATCCTCTTCGGGGCAGGGTCAAGTTGTTCCTGTTTAGTCTTCAATTCAAAATTATTTTCTCTTAAAAAGTCTGCATTCACATTAAAAATGTAGCATAAGCTTTAGAAAGTACAAGCACTGTTCATGGTGCATCATCACTTCTCTATGCACACAATTTTCTAACTCTCTTGCATCACAACTGAAAGGTCATCCCTCAGTATACAAAATGCTATCAAAATAGCTGACCCATGGTTTTACTAGTTTTCATTAAAAAATAGAAAACATTAATAAAGCACAGTAATATGTTGCTCAGACAGCAGTACTTAGACAAATATACAATTCACAAGGAATTAAGATAGACAAATTTACACTTGGAACAGTCTAAAAAAAATAAACCACCTAAAACAAATTACATTTAAAAAAATTTAAAGCCCATTTAGTATATTGCTGTTTTTCAATTTCTTAATGTATGGCCTACACTACTCTTCATGGCATTGCACAAATATTTACTTTGCCTGTTGTCAAATAATCACATCTCTCCAGTTTCCAAATAGCATCTCAGTTAACTTTTAGCTCTTACCTCTACCCAGCTCTGCTGCTCATGACACTCACCTTCAGAAGCCCAACCAGCTCTACTCCTCAGAGCACTCACCTTGAGAAGGGCAGCCCAGCTGGTTTGTGTTTCTGCCGCTGACTCTAAAAACGCCTCTTCTACTGGTTTTCCTTAAGCAGAGGTGCAGGCGCAGGGCCCCTGTTGTCCTCAACTTCCCAGCACCAGGCTGAAAGCAAGGGTGGGGTCACTGAAGAACTGTAGCGAGCCCCAGCTGGAGACACCCACCCTGCCCCAGCTGCTCAGAGTGGGATGTCAGGGCCATGGAAGGAGCTCCCACCACAGTTTATGCCCACACCTTCTGTCCCAGCTGTACCATATATCCCAACTGCATGTGGATAACTCTTTTCCCATTCCACTTCTCTGCTTAGTTCCTGGCCAATAGATAACCAGGTTGATAATGCAATGCTACCATTGATTTTTAACCACACGTTCTCATGTCTAAAACTTAAATATGGAAATAAATTAATAAATAATGTATACGTAAGTGCATTAAAAACAGTTAAAAATACTAACATTTTCATGTATCATTGTAACAATGGTTGGTTATTCTGACACTGTTAAGTACCTGGACATATTCTCTTAGAAAAATAAATGGCTAGGAATATACACACAGCAGTACTCTCAATTTAAAAAGTGTATTTCTTTTGTTTCATTTACCAAAAATACATTTCAGATAAATGTTGCATTGTAATTATATAATCTTAGGGCGCTAAGATGTTATTTATCATTACTTTATTACTAAATAAACCAAGACTATCTCACACTTAATTTAAAAACAAAACAAAAAACAACCAAGCACCTGAAGAACTCACTAGCCATCTTCTTTGTTGTTTGGGTTCTTTCTGTCATTTGGAAAGCAAAAAATACATTGTTCTTTTCTGCATGATTAACATATTCCCCCTGAAAGATAATTCATTTTAATGGAATTGTTTGAACTCTTATTACATTAATTCATGCAGGACAACATTAACTGCATACAGAGCTCGAGGTCAGGAGGAATAATTACCTGCTCATATTCAGGTTCACTATTATGTTTCTGTGTAAAGTCCTGTGAAAAGTTTGGACTGTGATGTTTGGTTCTATACAAGCAAGAGTTAGTTTGTGTGTGTTTTCAATACACCATAAAATTCACAATACCTCCTTTAGGCTACTTAATGCCATTACTTTCCCATTTCTGTCCTCCCTCTTTTTGTTTTCGTCTTAGTGAATGTTGTATTTTCAACTTGTGCAACAGTTCTTTAAACTTGCTGTTTTGTCTCAATGTCTAGTGAAAAGAAAATAAAATATATTAATTAAAGTAATTTAAAAACAAGACTATATAATTTCCAGGTTAGCATATTAATAAAGGTATACATTTGTCATATATTTTCCTTAAGTACAGTTATTTTCCTATTATTTGACTACTATTTGAAAAAATTACCATAAACAGGACTAATTAAGAAAACAAATAGGTGTAGTCCCTGAATCATTTTAACATACTGCCTGTGTTTATATCCATTATGCACTATTTTCTAAACACTTTTGTATTGCCCCATTTATTAAGTGGTAGATTACCCACCTCTTACATTAATGATAAACGTTTATTTTACAGACCTTGTTACAGATACTTTTCTTTCACAATTGCTTTCAGTTGTTCGCAAGAGTTTGTTTCTGAACATCGAACATTTGTAAACACTTGTCAGTTGCAAACAATTTCTTTACTGAGGGGACAAACTACACTGTCAGAGGCACAATATTACAATTTCAACTTCAGAAAACACTCTTGTGTTGTGCCCCTCTTAGCAAAGGACTTTACTTCATTATTAGGAAAATACAGCTGTTGCAAAGGAAGTATTAAAGTGCTTTTACATTCATTTTTCACTGCCATTGCCCAGCAGAATTAAACATCCCTTGTCTACAAGTTTAGCTTAAAAAAAAAAAAGAGAAGGTAATATATTAAATTTGCCTATATAGCTGCATAGTTACCTCTAATTTTGCATGCATGGATTCTCCCTGAGAAAAAATGCTGCCACTATTTGCAGGGCAAAGCTTTCATAAAAATAAAACAAAACAAATGCTCAACTTTGGGCTGAACATTCCCACAAACATAATGGGAAAACACAAAGCCACATATCTGTCATTAAATACAAGGAACAAAAGTTCCCTTTAGTCAAAAGTGTTAAATAACCTTGTCCACTTGGTCATATTTCTACCATTATTACAGCCGGCAGCTAAGAACGTTTAGTTTTTATGAAACCCTGACAGACTACCGACTCCTGTTACTGTTGTTAAGACGCTTAATGGACACGGCAAAGAAACTCCAACACAGCGCTGGCACTACTGAAATAAATATGGTTTGGGGTGAAGCAGAACCGCTCTGAGGGAGGAGACGCTGCTCTCGAGCACCGCCCGCCTCAGGCCGGGCCCGCGGGGCGAGGGGAGATCCCCGTGACAGGGGCTGAGGGGGATTCTTCGTTAACAGGGGCTGCCGAGGGGGACCCCTCGTTAAGAGATGCTGAGGGGGAGTCCCCGTTAACAGGGGGTGCTGAAGGGGACGCCCGGTTAACAAGGGTGCTGAGGGGTATCCCTCGTTAATACGGCGTGCTCAGAGTGACTCCCCGTTAACAGGAGCTGAGTGCCGTTATGATATCTCTGGGCAAGTAACCGGGGCACCAAGCACCGCCCAAGAGCGCCACAGCCCCGCCTTCCGGCTCCGGAAGGAGCGGCGAGCGCCCCGTCAGCCGGCCCTGCTGCTCATGCGCAGCGGGCAGGGCTGGTGGGGCAGGAGCCGCCATGGTTTACATCTCTAATGGTGAGGGGAAGGGGCCGGGGCCGGGGCGCCGGGCGGGGTCTGTCTGGGCAGTGACGGCGGGCCCCGGGCCCGCGCGGGGCAGAGCGCGGCCCCCGCTGCCGGGGGAGCCCGGCGGGGCCCGGCCCTGCCGGTGTCGCGTCACCCCGCGCTCCCCGCGGCCTGCGCTGAGCTCGCCTGCTTCTGAACTGCGCTTGGGGACTTTGAAGGGGCCGAGCGTGGTCTGCGAACACCGGGAGCGTAAAAGAACAGCACTTAAACAACATGCGGGGAGACAGCCGCTGCCCTGGTACTTTTTATAGGTTTCCTGGACGCAGAGCCCCTTTGACGATGGTGACCCCAGTAGTTCGAGTGCTTGCTCAATAAATTATCTCTAGGCAGTGAAACTCGCCGCCGTTGCCCATGACGTGAAGTTTCTCCCTCCTATTTGTAAATTCTGGACTCAGCAGATATGCTTGGGTGTACTGTGCAGTGTCACACACTGAACATCACTGGATGTTTTGTGTTTGGATATGTTACAGGACAAGTTTTGGATAACCAGAGTCGGGCTCCTTGGAGTTTATCATCTATAACAGATTTCTTCTGGTCCATAGCAGATTTTGTGGTTCTGTTGTAAGTACAAGTTAATTCTTTTGGTGAGCTTTATTTTAGATTTGACATAGGTAGAAGCTACTCAGTATTATCACTAACACAACAATAAAAATGTTGTGTTTAATCTTTAGCATTCCTATCTATAAATATTTTACTGTGACTAGGTAGTTTTGTTTGCTAAGTACTACAGTAGTATAAAGTGCATGAAAAGTGATGCTAACTTCTTGGAAGTTCAAATGAGTTTTCTTACATTTCATCTATTTTGATACTGCAAAAAAGAAAAAGCATACACTTTTGTTAAACAGCTAATGTCTAATAGCTGATCCAATAATTAAGCTGTTACTTGGAGAATTTCTACTGGTGACAAGAGATCCTGGCTATGTAAAAATAATCACACAGCAGTAATGACAAATTTATGGCCCCAGATGAAAGCCAGTTAAGACACAGAAAGTTCTTGTGATGTATTCAACAGTTCTTGATTATTTCAGTTACAGGTTTATACTTTATGCATTTCTTGCATATTTACCCAAAGATGAGATTTTATAGTTTGAGCCTCACTGTAATTTGGAATTAATTCAGATTTTAGTTTGATATGTAGGAGAAGAATTGCCAAGAATTAAACAACTATGATCTTGGCAAGATACACCATTCATTCCTTAACATATTTACTGTTTTTCGGGCCATTTCTTATCTTGCAATCCAAAAATAGCTAAACCATGTCTAGCAGTCAATTCACCTAACTCTTGTTTTATTTTTCAGTTTCCAGAGCATTATTCAACCAGATTTGAGAAGAAGAGGCTATACATCTTCCTCCTATTCAGGATACAATGATGGAAGAGGGTATTTTTTTCATATTCACACCAGTTCTGATTTTTTTTCCTATCTTAGCAAAGTCACGTGAATCTGAGTAGATTAATTAGGTTGTGTAGGAAGACTAAAATGTTTATCAAGCTTTGGACAGCTTGAAAAATAATATAGCCTAACACACTCTGAAACTATTAAAGAATTATAAAAGAATTTTTTTGAAAGCGGGGTTAGAGGTTTTTTACAGCTTTTAACAGGAAACTGATTTTTTTCCGAGGTTCTAACTAAGTACTGTCATTTAGAGACAGTGTTATATTTCTAGTTTAAAAGTTTAATGACAATAGAATTGCTTTCTTTTCAGGCCTCCAGCACATCCTCGGCGTAGGATGGGTCGAATAAATCACTGGGGTGGAGGCCCCAGTCCACCACCAATGGCTGGGGGTGGATGAGGAAGGTAATTCCAAATCTGCTCTATCCTGCTTTGAATATTGGGGAGTTTCTTAATTACAATAATCAAGGTTAAGGTATAACTTTTGCAGAAGTTACCAGAACAGGCAGATAATCAAAATGGTAGATACTTACAGTAAAGTGGAGGAGAAAGGGAAGGGGGAGAGGATGTTAAAAGATTTTGGGTCAGAAATGGTGGTTTTTAATTGCACAGAAGTGGATATACAAAGTGTTAACAAAGATTTTTGAACACAGCTTATAAAAAATTATTTATAGCTTTTCATTTTTTTTGGCTGCTAATTTAAAGTCCTGTCCAGATCAGAAGCAATTGAAACTTTCTTTGCATTTCTAATAGTTATCATATAACGTATAGGGGGGTTTTATTTTAAATAGATACTTAATAGAAAAGAAGGAAAATAATTGTTAACAGACTTAGTAAAAATCTTATTTTTCCTGTTACAATGATATAGCCATACAAATCTTGAATTCCAGTAAAGTATAAAAATCAGAACCGCTTAAAAATGGAGGCAAAAGCCCTGGTCTTTAAATTTCTTTCAGCTGCCTGAACTTTAATTCTGTTTTATTAGTTATTTTGGCTAGTCAGAGTTACATCTAACACTGTGTGTATATACAGGATAGTTTAATTTACTTCAAGACCTAAGTAAACAATCCTTGTCATCAATCACTCCTTATTGTTACCATCACAAAAGTGTTACCATCACTACCTGTAAGTCTGATAGGGAGAAGTTCATAACCAAAAAGCACATACACCAGTATTTCAGTTCTTTAGAAAAAGGATAAGCTTCTTTCAAATATGGTGGTTTAGGGGTTTTTTTTTCCTTTTTGACTGGACACGAGGCCAGCAAAGACTCTCGGGGTGGCTTTCGGGTAATCACAGCAATGTGTAACCTGCTCAGGAATAAAATTTGAAAGTCTTTAGCATGTGTCATCTAGCTAAATTAAAAACAATTTTATTTTAAAATTATTATTTAATTTTAATCTCACAAAGAAAGGCCTTGTTGTTTTTAAATGTACTGCAATTGCTTTATCTTTTAGGTAAACGCCTGCTGAAGAGGCAGGCACAAGTGTACACATTTGCAAGATGAAAGGAAGAAGAGTTTAGTGGTGGACCAAATGAGTTTGAATATTGTGAATGTGTACATCTGACTGGAAGCTGTTCTGTGATATAAGCAGATTAATGAAGTTGTACTGGGAACTCCTTCTTCCAGGATCCAGTGTAACTGAACCACAGTTTTATTAAATACATGTTTACTGTCTAAAGTCTTTGTATAGTTTGTGAATATTTTACTGTAGTTACAAAGTAATAAGTAAATTATATTTGGCTTGTCACAAGGCTGACTTTCTCATCATTTTTAGAAACCAAAAAATCTGAAGTACAGTAAGTCCTTAGCTATTCAAATGAGGAAAAATACATATTTATAGTTGATAGATATTTATAGTTGATAGAGATGGTCCCTCAAGAGCCAAACTTAAAGCAGCGCTTCCTAAGAAGTTTTGTATTTACTCTGTCTTTGTCAGGACAAACATTCTGTACTTTGCTGTATTTTCATGGTATTAATGACACTCTAAAAGCACTTTAAAAACGCAGTTTACAAATTACTTTGTTTTACAATCCTTGCCTTTTACAAACTTACTTCCTTAAGGCCCATAATGGGTACAGCTGTTGAAACAGCCTCCTTCTCCATTATAAACTTACTCAAATGTATAAGCCTATTTACTGTACAAATTTTGGTAAAACTTTGAGGTTTTTTTTCAATAAAATTAGGTCTTGTTTTTAGTATATGAAGAAAAAGGTAGTGAACTGAAATACTGTGTGCTAATGCAGAAAGTTATTTTCTTTCAAACAGTAACTACCTTTTATCTACTTTACTCCATTTCAGGATGGGAGTTTCTTACTGTTCTTGGAGCTCATTTGGATTTGGTTTGTTGGGGGATTTTTTGTTTGGTTTAGAGAGGGCTAGATCTATTTGAGAAAACATTAGCTGACAAGAATCCAGATTAAATTATTTTCTACAAGGTGCCACTGCAAAATTTTTACTTAAGCCTCTCTATAACTCTCTTGTTAAGGAAACTTTCCTATCTGACCATCCGGGAGCCACTCTGGCAGTCACACCCACACCACCTGAGCTGGGATTGAGGCCCCTTCACAGCAGGTGGTTCCAGTGAGCCCATGGGTGCCCTACTTGACTCCCACACACCCCACTCAACACACAGACCAGGTCTCCTTACCAGCTCGACCCCAGGTTTTCCCATAGGAGAGTCTCAGACGTCTGGATCCTTAAAATAATTTAATGTTGGTGCAATAAGTAAATAACAACAGCTCGAGCTGGTGCCTCCGAGGAGGAACCCCGAACAAAGGAAGTCCTGGGCTTTTACGCGCTCGCAGTCTAAGCACTGGAATATCTGGTGGCTGTCGGCTCCTGCCGTGTCTCCTCACCGGGCGGGGCCGCACATCCCCTCTGTTGTGCAAAGGGTCGGCAGT